AATACCTATCTTACTCTCTTCCTTTCAGCTTCATTACTTACCATAATTTTGTCTTCTATATCACTGATTCATCCCTCTGCTTCATCCATCCTTACTGTCATGGATCTCAACTAGTTTCCATCTCTAATAGAGCATTTTTTATTTCAGTCTGACTTGTTTTTAGTCCTTTCATCTCTGCAATGAGGGATTCTCTAGTGTCTTCTAGACTTTTATCATGCCCAGTTAATATCCTTATAATTGTTGTTTTAAATTCTAGTTCAGACATCTTACTTGTATTTGTGCTGAATAAATCCCTTGTGATGATTTCTTCCTGTTCTTTCTTTTGAGTTGAATTCCTGTCTTGTCATTTTGGAGGTAAAAAAAAAAAAAAAAAAAAAAAGGGAAGCTAAATCCTAGATGTATCTTGGTCTAACTAGAACAACTGGCATTAACACACAGACAAAACCCTGATGGACAAAAGGGACTACAGAGACAGGCACCCCTGGTTCACAAGTGGATGTACACCCAGCAGTCATCACAGGGCAGCAGCAGAGATGGGGACATTTCGACACATGATCCAGGGAAAACTGGTTATCTAAGGGAAGAAAGGACTCATTTCTCTCATCAACTTCATGGACATTAACCAAGTCATGTGGATTTAACTGTCATGGAAACAAATAGAACACACAGAAAGGAACTTCCAGCATGTGTAATTATGACCTGAGCGATGGAGGAGTTTTCTCACAGAACAACAGAAGGTAATCTAGAGGTACATGAGTAGCTCTGTCAATTAAGTGTCCAACATAGGCTAAGGTCATGATCTCAGGGTTCGTGAGTTTGATCCCCACATCACTTTCTACTGTCAGCACAGAGCCTACTTTGGATTCTCTGTCCCCCTCTCTCTCTGTCCATCTCTGGTGTTGGCGTGTACAAGGGCATGCACATGTTCTCTCTCTCCCTCTAAAATAAATAAATATTTTAAAAAGGAGGTACTCTACACAGGAATAGTTGGGGAATTTCAAGTCTACTAACAATGTGAAAGGCCCATCCACACAGACAACAGAGAGAAATCATACACCCTGACCTGGAGAAAACATTTTCAACACATAGAAATGAAACAGCATCAGTGTCCACAGGACGTGAAGGAAACAGAAGACATCAGGAAGCAGACACGTGAGTTACAGGTGACAACACACTGTAAATGCTTCCACAGAAGAGGGAACCCCACACATGAGAAATGCTGAGCCACAGGGGAATTAGAAAAATAAATGTGTGCTATCAAGGAGACCCCGTGTCACATACTTCAGCTGGAGAAAATAAAGCCAGTTAACACCCATTGCCACAAGTGAAAGGAATCAGCACTGATGTGTGATTCACACACTGCATTCACATTTCTTCATAAATTTTAACTTTCCCTCAAGCTACAATATGCCATTACCACAATGTGTAAAAATTACATGCATTTACTTTTGGAGACACGAAACCACTAAGCAGGACTGCCAACAAAAGCAAAAGATGAACTTGAGACCTGTATTGAGCAATTGAGCACCTGGGTCATTTCAAGGACATAAAGACCTCATCCCAGCATATGAAGAAAAACATGCAGAATCACTGCTTCTCCCTGTGTTCAAGATAAAAGAAAGAAGGTAAATTCTCAGGCATGTTATGGTTTAAAAAAAAAAAAAGGAAACCATGCTTTTCAGAACTTACTTTTTAATTTTATCCACATGATAGCAATTTGGAAGACAGACTGAATACATCCCACTTCACAGAATTTGCATGTATCTCCGACCACCAGTAATGAACAGGAAGTGGGTTATGATCACAGTTTTTTAACTCCACTCTGCATGGAACAGTCACTAGCATTTGGTTCAATCCTTTTAATCCATGACTACACCCACCTGGCATGAAGGTGTGGAAATCCATGCATTTTTTGTTCTGAGACACTTCCCCAGTGAACATTCTCTGGATAAGTCTCAGAGTAACCTGAGTCAGCAAGAACAGGAAAGATCTGACACATTTACTACCCTCTGCCCTGAAGGGGAAGAAAGGAGGCAGAAAGAATTCAGTAACTTTACACCTGCTAAACATGAGGCTGGCATAAAAGAAAGCCATCAGTGCTTAGGGACTGTGCTACTCACAGGTGACAGGTGACATGCAGACACCTACCTGAGCCCTGTTCTCCCTGGAAAACCTCAGTGGAAGGGAAAGGCACTCCCTCCCCCACCCTGTTTGGGTCTGGAAAACAGCAGGATGTACAAGGGCCCCTCCCCCATCAGACCAGGAGAAGACTCACAGGAAGTCCCCCTGTTCACCCAGGGGGTAGGTGTAGACCTCCCAAGTCCACACATTGTGGCTCATCCATGATTAGCTCAGCTGTTCGTCCCACTGAACAGGGGCACAAAAGCTGGCTAGTCCCACTTTGGTTTGGCTTTTCTCCTTCCTCCAGACCCTTAACATGGGCTTGCTCTCAGACTGAGCCACACACAGCCCCTCCTGGGGGACAGGAGGACAGGCTGGCCTCAGGGAACCACCATGTCAGCACCACACCTTCTTATGCCCAGTTTGTTTACTCCTTTCCTGCCTTCAGACACCTGCAGGTCTTATGATCACTGTGTTCTCCCCACTGATGTAGTCACTGCCTCTAATACAACAGCAACTCTGCTCCCACTACACGGCCCCTGCCCCCAGTGCAACAGTGCCTATCTCCCCACCCAGACTATGCAATCATTCTGCTCAATACAGGACTCTCCTTACTCAATTCAGATTCTTCATTTGACACTGCCCTACAACACCCCTTTCCTACCCAAATGTTACCCAGGCCACTGTCCTCTCCACAGGCCCCTGAACTGTGGGTGGCCCACACTCTGAGCATCCATGAGCTGAGGAACAAGGCCATGGGGAACTTAGCCAACAAATCTGTCCTTCATCACAGGGGCTGGACCCGGACAGTGGGCTTTCTTGCTCCATCTCTGTCACACAAAAAAGCAAAGCCTGGTTCCATTTCACGGAAGATGCTGGAGGATATCTGAGACTGCACCTGGTTCTTGTTAGCACTTTGCACTAAAGTGTCCTCAGCCTAGTTCGATTTGAGTTTACCTACCAGGACCATGGTGAGCCCCCTGATCTCCATTCCAAGATTTACTACCCCTGGACGTGGTGGTCCTCCCTCCTTTCACCAGGTAGGGTTCAGCTGATCACAGGGAAACCCGGAGACAGTGATTTGACAGGAATATGGACACCCATCCCCACCCCACAACAGACTTTACCTCCTGGGGGAAAGAGGAAAGCACCCCACTTGTATTTCCACTCCGGTCACTGCTCATGGAAACAAAAAGGCAAAACTGAGTCATGGTCCAAAGGGATGTCCTTCAAAGTCATAATTTGCAACAAAATCAACCAAAGACACCAATAATTAGTCCCAGTAAAGCTAAACCAATATCATAATTTTAAACTTCATGAAAAATGGGTACCTGGGTGGCTCAGATGGTTAAGTGTCTGACTTGGGTCAGATCAAGATCTCACAGTTCATAGATTTGAGTCCTGCATTGGATTCTGTGCTGTCAGCTTAGAGCCTGGAGCCTGCTTTGGATTCTGGGTCTCCCACTCTTTCTGCCTCTCCCCCACTTGTTCTCTCTCTCTCTCTCTCTCTCTCTCTCTAAAATAAACATTTAAAAAAATATTTTTAAACTGAAGAAAAAGAGAAGTGATGTGAAAATGTATCTTTCATTAATAAAGACTGAAAAGAAGAGCAGACACAAAACCAGATTATTCCAGTATCACAACAGAGGACAGAAAATAACTTTCAACAATGAGGGGTCTCATGTCATGATAATTTAACAGGAACTTTTTGGAATGTATAATTCAAGACATTTTTTTGTAGAAGTATATAAAGTTGTATGTACACACCAACAACAGACACCTTTTTATCACATCCAGTCCAAAAGACATTGTAATGGGAAAGAGACATATGGTACATAACCGTGTGATTACTTCAAGTCTGAGGTAACAACATCTAGGTCACACAGATGTAGAGGACAAAGAAGGCCACCTAAAACCATCAGTGTTCATATCAGTGACACGAACTAGGAATTCATACACTTAGGGTCCCAATCAAGGAAGAGGCACCTGGAAACTCAAAACCATAATCACAACAATGAAAATATTTCTCTCCCGCCTGAATTTTCATGAACAAAATACATGAAGTTCTATACCTGAAGTTTTCCCAAAATTGTGTCCATTCAGGATCATCTCCATTGTACGGGCTCACATTTTCAATAAGAATTTAAAGGAGGATAAATGCTATGCCACAGTGTGTCTATGCTCACAGATTCCTGGGATACCTGAAGGCTTTTCCATGGTGCTTAAGTTTATGTGTGTCCTTGAAGGGAAGAGGGACAATTGAAGGCTTTCCCATGGAGCAGTCATTCGTAAGGTTCTGTCCACTGAGGGTCATCACATGTACATGCAGGTCTCTGGGACACTCGAAGGTCTTACCAGAGTCCTTACATACAAAGGCTTACTGTCCACTGTGCAGCCTGGTGTGTTCTTGAAGGGATCGGTGATTTGTCAAGATCTCTCCCCAGGGTGTTTCTTCATATGCACTTGAGGAGATGAGAAGAACTTGTATGCCTTCCCACACCTCTTGCATTCATAGGGTTTAGTTGTGCTGTGTGTTTTCAAATGACCTTGAACATTTTGCAGCTGACAACTTTCCCACACTCTATATACTCAAAAGGTCTCTCCCCAACATGTGTCCGTATGTGTACTTCCACAGTGATGGGCACCTGAAGGTATTCCCACACTGCTAACACTCATAGGATCTCTCCCAAGCATGTGTCCTCATATGTGCTCCCAAGTTTCAAGGAGATGTGAAGGCTTTCCCACAGTGTTGACATTTACAGGGTTTTTCCCCAGTGTGTGTCTGCGTATGTATCCATAGATCAGTGTGACACATGAAGGCTCTGATACATTCCTGACATTAATAGGGTTTCACTACCTTGTGTGTGGTCCTGTAATGTTCAGAGGTCGATGTTTCCTGAAAGCTTCCCCTCACTCCTTACATTCCAAGTTTCCACCCCTGCGTGATTTCTCACAGTATGTAGTACAAGGGTGCACTTACGACTGAAGGCTTTTCCACAATGCACACATTTATAGCGTTGCTCGCCAGTGTGTGTCCTCACATGGTCTCGTAGGCATGAGTTATACCTGAAGGTTTTCCCACACACCTGACATTCATAGGGTCTCTCCCCTGTGTGTATTGTCACATGTTCTCGCAGATTCCAATGATATCTGAAGGTTTTCCTACACACCTGACATTCATACGGTCTTTCCCCAGTGTGCGTCCTCATATGTTCTCGCAGGCATGACTTATACCTGAACGTTTTCCCACACTCCTGACATTCATAGGGTCTCTCCTCCGTGTGTATCTTCACATGATTTCGCAGATTCCAATGATATCTGAAGGTTTTCCCACATTGCTGACATCCATACGGTCTTTCTCCAGTGTGTCTCCTCATATGCACTCGCAGGTCTGTGTGATTCCGGAAGGCTCTTCCACACTGCTGACATTCAAAGGGCCTTTCCCCAGTGTGCGTCCTCATATGTACTTGCAGGTATGATTGATCCCGAAAGGATCTGCGACACTCCTTACATTCATAGGTTTTCAACGTACTGTGAGTGGTCATGTGACGTTTAATATGACCATACCTCTGGAAAGATTTCCCACATTCCTTACATTCATAGGGTCTTTCCCCAGTGTGTGTCCTCATATGTACTCGCAGGTTTGGGTGATGCCTGAAAGCTTTGCCACACTCCCCACATTCATAGGGTTTCACTACATTGTGTGTGGTCATGTGACATTCAAAATGTAGACGTATCTTGAAAGTTGTCCCACATTCTTTACATTCCCAGGATCCATCCCCTGTAGGTGTTCTCCCAGGTACAAGAAAGGTGTGCTGACCAGGGAAGGCTTTCCCACACGGCTGATATTTATAGGGTTTCTCCCGAGCATGGGTCCGCACATGTTTTTGCAGGCTTGACTTATACCCGAAGGCTCTCCCACACTCCTGACATTGAGAGGTTCTAGCCCCAGTGTGAGTTCTCATATGACGTGTAAGGAAGGAGTGATATAAGAAGGTTTTCCCACACATGTCACATGCATGGACCCTCTGTACACGGTCATTTTGCACATGACCCTGAAAAGAAGAAATGCAAGTGAAAGCTTTTCCACATTTCTTGCACTCTAGAGATTTTTTACTACTCAGACTCTTTGCGTATGTCTCCGATGCTCTCCCGGTGTCCTGACCTTCATAGGATTTCTCTACAAGGTCTGCACCCACCTGAGTGCTGAGGCTTGAGACGGAGCTACAGGCCGGCCCACATTCCTCACAGGGACTAGATTTGAGTCCTGGGTGAGATCTTCCCAGATTCCCTAGGAAAAAACCATCTGTGAAGGTTTCCCTACACTTAGCACATTCACAGGATTTGCCTCCAGTAGGACACCCCTCATGCACAGTAAGACTTGTAATCGAGTTCAGGGTTTCTCCACATTGATCTCCTTCAAAACGTTCACAGACACTCTCCAACAAAGGACTGCTGTTCAAAATAGGAAGATACATGGTAAGGGAATAGTGATTAGAAGTGATCTCTTTAATAATTAATGATCTATTGATGCTTATTAATTATTATTGGACTACATAATGGACATTTTCAATGACTGAGTATGGTTGTGGCACTGTCTGCATGATTGCAAAATGGTTCAAGCTTACTGTTCTCCTGAGGACTCAAATAGAGTCATAACGTTCAGGGTTTCTTACCTATAGTTTTCCCTGACCATTTTTTTTTTAAACAATTCTTTTTTTTTTATTTTTTTTTCAACGTTTTTTATTTATTTTTGGGACAGAGAGAGACAGAGCATGAACGGGGGAGGGGCAGAGAGAGAGGGAGACACAGAATCGGAAACAGGCTCCAGGCTCTGAGCCATCAGCCCAGAGCCCAACGCGGGGCTCGAACTCACGGACCGCGAGATCGTGACCTGGCTGAAGTCGGACGCTTAACCGACTGCGCCACCCAGGCGCCCCTTCCCTGACCATTTTTAACAACGCAATGGTTTTTCAGATGATCAATACCTAGAATGCATTTATAAAAACTTCGTTTTGTGAAAGTTTTGACTACACGGTTGTTGCGCTAGGTTTACACCTGTTCTCTACTTTCAGGCTAGTCTCACAATCGCCAACATTCCCCATTCCTCCCTTGCAAGTATCACTCACCTCAAAAGCCCTTCCTGCATTTGGGTCAGATCTCCACTGCTGTGAAATTTCCGCTTCTCTACAAACACAGAACGGGAATCATTTTTTGTAAACATTAGTATTTTCTCTTCACTCAGAGGCTCATTCTGCAAAGAATTCCACTCAGTCTCTGATCCACTCATTTTACCTTGACTGGGAGAAACTATAAGAATTGGGAGCCTAGGGGGCACCTGGGTGGCTCGGTCAGTTAGGCATCTGACCAGCTCAGGTCATGGTCTCACAGTCTATGAGTTTGAGCCCATGTCGGGCTCTGTGCTGACAGCTCGGAGCCTGGAGCCTGCTTCAGATTCTGTGTCTCCCTCTCTCTCTGTCTCTCCCCTGCTCATGCTCTGTCTCTCTCTGTCTCAAAAATAAATAAAAACATTTAAAAAATTAAAAAAAAAAAAGAATTGGGAGCCTAGTTGAATTTCGTGGAAATGACCTGATGCATAAGGTTAAAAAACGGGCCATATGTCTGCTTCTATTCATATACTGATCCCGAAATGGAAATGAACTTCATGAGGAAGAATGGTCATGGACCAAATTTCTGAGGACCCTTGTGACTTGGGACTTTGACAATAATAAAGTATCTGAAATGGCAGCACGTTCATCCACAAATACTTCAAACTAGATGCAGACTAATGTGGAGATTAAGAATTATCAGAAGAGCCAAGTAGGAAGGAACTGGGCAAGACACACACATCCACACCCTACCTCTACAGGAAGACAGAAATACTGGCCACGTGGGCTACAATGGATGAAAAGTCCAACAGGGAGGACAGGTGAATGGCAAACATCACCCTGCCCATACAAAGACTGAGCCATATTTCTAATGGATGCATCCAAACGCCAATCCCTTCTCCAGAACCTGGTCCAACTGAGGGTTGGCCAGTCTGAGGGCACAGAGGCCTTCGGTGGAGCCTGCCTGAGCTGCTCAGCTGCCATCAGGAGATTAGATGGTGTGTGTGGTTGCTGCCCTGCCCCTGAGAAGAGCTCAGCAGGAGGGAGGGTTTGAAGGACAACAAGCAATCTGGAAGATGGGCCTAACTTTCATCTTCACAGTCATGATGACTGATAATTGTGGGATTTTTTATTATTCATTCATTCATTCATTCATTCATTCACTCATTTTTTGGTAGAAGCATACTGACCTATATATTCGTGTCAGGTGTGCAATATGGGGATTCAACAATTGCATACATTACAAAATGCTCACCATTACAAAATGCTCACCATAAAAATGCTCACCATAATTGCTGTCACTATACAAAACTACAAAATTATTGACCATATTCCCTGTCCTCTACTTTTCCTTCCCATGACTTATTTATTCAATAAGTGCAAATCTGTTCTTCTCAATCCCCTCCATTTCACCTCTCAATGCCCTTCCAATCTCACAAACACCAATTTGTTCCCTACAGTTTTAAGTCTTCCTGTTTTCTGCTGTTTGTTCATTTTGTCATTTAGATTCCACATATAAGTAACCTGTTTTGTTTGTCTCTCTGTCTGACTTATTTACTTGGTGTAATACTCTCTAGCTCCATCCATGGTGTCACAAACATCAAGAATTTGTCCCTTTTATATTACTGAGGGACAGTCCCTTGTATGTAGATACCACATCTTCATTATCCATTCATCTGTTGAAGGACTCCTGTGTTGCTAAGGTATCTTGAGCACAGTGAACGTCGGGGTGCACGTATCTTACTGTCCTGGTTTTTACCTTTGGTGAACTACCCACAAGTGAAATTACGGACCATATGGTATTGTTGTGTTTCCTTTTGTTGTGGAAACTCCATACTGTTTGACAAGCTGGCTGCACCCATTGAAATCCCACCAATGAGGCGTTTCCCTTTCTCCACATCCTCACCAACACTTGTACTTCCTGTTTCTTTCATACTAGCCATTAGCTCACCTGGTTTTAATTTGCATTTCCTTGAGGATTAGTGATACTGAGCAGCTTTTCATGTGCCAAGAGGCCATCTGTATATTTTCTGTGAGAAAATGTGTATTATGTTCCTCTTTCAATTTTTTATTTTTCCTTTTGTTTCCCTTACCTGAAGGGATGATTCCACAAAAATAATGCTATGGCTGATATCCATGAATTTAGTGTCTCCATCTTGTCTTACGACATGTATGGGTTCAAGTCCTACACCGAGGTGTTTAATCCATACTGAGTTTCCTTTCAGGTAAGGGGTACAAAGCTGCCCAGTTTCACCTCCTTGCAGGTAGCTGTCTCATTTTCCCAGCACCACTTATTGAAGAGACAGTCTTTTCCCCATTGTACAGTCTCAGATCCTTCCTTGTAGATTATTTTACCATATAAACTTGGGTTTCTTGGGGCGCCTGGGTGGCTCAGTCGGTTGAGCGGCCGGCTTCGGCTCAGGTCATGATCTCACAGTCTGTGAGTTCGAGCCCCGCGTAGGGGTCTGTGCTGACAGCTCGGAGCCTGGAGCCTGTTTCAGACTCTGTGTCTCCCTCTCTCTGGCCCTCCCCCGTTCATGCTCTGTCTCTGTCTCAAAAATAAATAAACGTTAAAAAAATTTTTTTTTTAATTTTTTTTCAACGTTTTTATTTATTTATGGGACAGACAGAGACAGAGCATGAACGGGGGAGGGGCAGAGAGAGAGGGAGACACAGAATCGGAAACAGGCTCCAGGCTCCGGGCCATCAGCCCAGAGCCTGACGCGGGGCTCGAACTCACGGACCATGAGATCGTGACCTGGCTGAAATCGGACGCCTAACCGACTGTGCCACCCAGGCGCCCCCCAAAAAAAATTTTTTTTAACCTGAGTTTCTTTCTGGACTCTCTATTCTGTTGCCTTGATGTTAGTGTCTGGATTTGTGCCAGAACTATACTATTTTGTTGAGTGTAGTTTGAAATCTGGGACTGTTATATCTTCAGCTTTGGTATGCCTTCTCAAAATAGCTTTATTTGGAATCTTTTCTGTTTTCATACAAATTTTAGAATTTCTTGCTCTAGTCCTCTCAAAAATGCTATTCATGAAATGATTGATAGGGATTGCACTGAATATATACAGTACTTTTCATAGTATAGGCATTTTCAAAAAAATTAGTCCATACAATCCATGATAATGGTATAGCTTTCCCTTTACTGTGTCATGTTCAATGTATTTATTAAATGTTTTATACCTACAAGAGTATGGATCTTTCAACTTCCTTGGTTACTTTTTAACATAATATTTTATTGTTTTTGAACTACTTGAAGATGGGTTTGATTTCTTAATTTCTCAGCTATCTTGGTAGTAAATAGAGAAATGCACAGATTCTACAATATTTGTGTTCTGCAACTTTTATAAATTCATTACTTACTTCTAATACTAATTAGTGAAGCCTTAATGATATTCTATGTACAGTTTCATATAATTTGCAAATATTGACCTTTTCTTCCTCTTCCTGAAAAGACCAGTGAAGGTATGGAGCCATCCTTACCCACGGAGGACAGGTTCCTGCAGGTCTCCAGAATCACATCTTTAAAGAGGTTCCTCTGACCATGATCCAGCAAAGCCCACTCTTCTGGGGTGAAGTTCACAGCCACATCCTCAAAGACCACAGAGGCCTGAAACATACCATACACTCTATTGCTGCAAAGCGCCATCTGCACCCACGTGTGTGGGAGAATGAAGGGTGTGGGTTAGAGAATGAAGAGTGTGGGTGACAGGCAGGGAGCTGACTCCATTCCTAGGACCCCTGAGTCACAACAGAGCGTGAGGACAACAGCTGACATGGACTTACACACACCCAATTTACTGGGTTATTTATACTGAGACACATCTGAGCAGACCAGCACTGTACACATTGAAAAATGAAATATTCACTGGACAACCCAGAAATCAGGACACACGTTTGGCTTGCTCAAAGACGATTATGCCTCGTCAGCTCCAAGAACTGGAACCAGAATGTCAGGATGCTGTGGACACTCAGATTCCAGGGCTGCTTGATGGGAGCAGCTCTCACCCTGGAAGGAACAAAGTCAAGAAGCCTGGTAGAGTCCCCTCTCTTCCGACAGAGGCAGACACGACCCTTTCCCCGGATTAGTTGGGCTCTGGGCACGGACACAGGCCAGAGCCCGGGTGCCTGGCACACCTGGTGTAAGATGAGTCTGGGGCCTTAAGAAACGTGGAAGTCAGCAGGGCCGCTCCAACATTTAACCCAGGGCCCAGAATTCAAGGAAAAGGGCACCAGAAGGAAGAGTCCCTAAGGGATTGTTGGGGACACAGCCACCCCTCACTTTAACACAAGAGGAAGAATCACAGTGTATAGGCCGCTTTCAGGCACAGGACTGAGATGGAAAGATATGCAGCGAAGGGCACAGTGAGCACACAGCTGAATGCACACGGGCTCCTGAGTGACCCGCCTCGAAATGGCCACAGGCCCTAAATAACCCCTGCGACTTACAACCAGGCACAGGTCCCACACAGGGAGCATTCCAAATGTTCCCATGCTCCCTCGTGACCCCATAACTGTAGCCCCCAGCACCGCCTCCCGGCAGATGGTCTCTTCTTTGCCGTCCTGCCCGCTGCTCCCTCGCAGGGTATTCAGTAAACTCCCATCTCCTCTGTTCTGCCTTGGGGGAATTCTCTCACCCCCTGAGCTGCGGGCCTCCC